AAGCAGCCATTAGCTAGGGTTAGGGCTGACTTGCGAGGAACATCCTATCTTTAAAAAGTAGATGTTCTAAGCAATCACATTGCTTTACCAGCTAGCTAGCTAGGACCTTGGGCCCTTAGCTAGGGCTTCTTAAAAATTTGATAAGCGTGTCCGAGAAATAAAGGCAAAACCTAATAAAATACATTTATTTTCAGTAATTGGATAAGAATTCACTTTTNCCCGTACGAAAACGTATGGGAGGTATGAACAACATCCGCTCTTGTATGTATATACATTATAATTCTTGGATAATTCTGCAAATAAGCGAATGGATTATTCTATCTAATTACCATCAAAGATCAACATAGAGTAACAGTTCATAAGACTGTTACCGATGGGACGCATTCGATGTTGATGTTTATTTTGCTGTTGCACACAAAATAGTAAAAATATCTCTAAAATTTATCGATCTCTAGCTACAGTACACGACAAAACAAATGTAATTCTACAGTGAAAGCAAGAGGATTCCGAATTTCCAACGAGTCTAGAAAAGCATTGGACGGTATAAGGTGACCTAATCACTGATCGACTCCAGGCCGGAGATGACGTATTGGTTTCCAGTTAGACGATGATCTCGTTTTGACAGTTCAACCCTAAAAACGTTCAACATTTTCAAGGAAGCTCAAAGCTCAGAAATTACCGTTTTTCTCGGGCTGATAAGTAATGAAGTATAGTCGTTAGGAGATTCTTGTGACAATGGACAACGAGAGGTGGTTCTACCAATTACAAGTTCTCGATCGGGGCAATGAGCCCTGAGACATCTATGTAATTCATGATTGGATTGCAATTGGCAGGCAATTCGAATCACTGAAGCCTCCCCAAATTGCTTGAACTTCGTTTAAACGCGTGATCAAACGGGCAAACACTAGTAATAAGGGAATCAAACACTACAATTTGATTCAGTCTAGGACAAGCTTTGATGGAACTCTCCTGACTAAGCATGATCATATCTTCCACTTATCAAGGGAGATGTTATTAAAATTTTGGAACGTTCCTATGTTGCGAATAATCCATAGAAAAAAATGTAATCCCAGAAATGTATCGTTACAAGAATCACTTATAGATTCTAAAAAAGAATCGGCTTTCAAAAGAATGTAATAGGAAGGAAAAGTTTTCCTTTGGTTTGAAGCGTTTCACCCAGTGACTGCTTTTTTAAAATTCTTCTTTGATGAAATAAATGAGAACACAAGAACATGTCATAGGTGAAGTTACAAATGAAACATGCAAAGTAAATGTACCTTCTGGGAGTGCAATAGTCCCTTCGATAAGCTCGTCCAGTATCCCATATGTTGAAAGGATAACTCATATAACATGCACCGGCTACAAATGCGATTGTAATAACACCCGAATAAAACTGTTCGAACCACATTGGATTCCTGGAAAACCTGAAATCTCGAAGTCATTTCACAGAAAAAAAAAGTGATTTTAACGAAGAGCATAGCCAGCAAAGTTAAGCAAATAAGCCCAGCGAGATGCCGCACAACTAACGGCTAAAATTTCTGTTCAATGCAGAGCGGCTGCGCAGCGACATGCGTTTCGGGGCGCAATAAGTGCTGACGACTGGCTGCTAACAATAAGTGGGGGCCGAACCGCCCGATACTGGGACAAGAAGCGTGATTTCCATCACCAGATTTCTATAAAAGATATGAGAGATAAGATAAGCTCAAGTCGATATTAAAGTCCAAGTTATACCACAAAACGAGACTGCTCACGACACGATCCACCCTTGATTCCTGCTTTTGAGTGCTATTTATCACGCCCCGAAAAGGCCGACTTTGGCGAAAATGGACGTTTACTTCGAATTTTCAGCAATTATTACTCCCTTTCTATTCTATTTTACGATGCAGCGATGCCACAATTTCACAGAACCTATACTGTTTTTCCAGTAGTTAATCTACAAAATCGTTCTCAACCCAGATGATCAAGAGGTGAAAGTTGGCTTTGAGAACTTGCGCTCCATCATGACAGCGCCTGTCCGGAGTTCGGAAGCATGACGGTTCGGCCGAAGGGGACCTGTTGTTTTTTAAACTTTATCTTCGTCCTTTTCAAAGCAGCCATTAGCTAGGGTTAGGGCTGACTTGCGAGGCATCCTATCTATAAAACGTAGATGTTCTGAGCATCCACCTTGCCTTACCAGCTAGCTAGCTAGGACCTTAGGTCCTTACTGGGACCACCTGAAAAATTTTGTTATGCGCGTCCGAGAAATACAGGCAAAAACTAATAAAATACATTTATTTTCAGTAATTGGATAAGAATTCACTTTTCATTTTGCACTTTTCAAAATACACTTCAAAATTCGACTTTTTTCATTTTGCAAAAAGGCAATGTTCATCATCACTAATGTAGTCGACGGAAGTGAAGTCGTATGCGTCCTCCAAAGCGCTTTCCCATCTGTATGAATGAGCTCGTTTCTCTTCATCATCCATAGAGGATGTTAGGATCTCCAGAAGAGGCTCGATTCTGAATATGCAAATTGAGTTATTGATTGATTTTTCCTCTATTGTTCGAGCCTTTGTTCAGCAACGAATTCGCTTTTAGAACTTGATAACAGCCCATTCCCGAAAGGAAGATCAAAAAGCAAGTGCTTTCTAATCTACAGGCGAAACCGTTTAGGATGTTCAACGTTTTATCATGCCTGAATGCGAGCTTTTCTAGCCGCGGTAGCACATCTATTTGGGGGCGGAGCTGTCTGAGGAAGGCGTTGCTGCCCTGTCACCTACCCTAGTTACATAGTATCTAGACAACTTTCTGTATCAGTGAAGCAATATGTCATTTTTTCTAGCACCGAGACACATTTCCGTAGGTTTTCCTGCAGAAACCATCCACTGCAGGGGCAAAATTGAGTTTTCTTTTCAAATTTATATGATGTAAATCACATTTTGTCGGAACAATTTTGAAACTGACCCTGCTATAACAGCATGCTTGTGATGCTTACGGAAAAGTCTCTTAAGATCCGCAAGGCGGAAATCCGTCGGTCGATAATCCACACGGGAATAGTAGTAACGGCGGAAGATCTAAATACTCCAAGTGATTCCAAGTAATATGATCATTAAATGTTTTAGTACCCACGACCACCCTTTTTTGCGAGATTTCCAAAAATATCTCCACTGAAAACGAGACAATGCCGCAGGCTAACCGTCATGTACTTATTCCTCCTTACGCTCGGTTCAGCTGAAGAAATGATGAGATTGGAAAGGTCGAGAGCAACGTCGCCGAAGTGCACATTCTGGAATTTGTTCCACTGTAAGACTTTTACGGTAAACTCCCTATCAGCTCACCTCCCACTCACTGATATCAACTAGTTCGGTTTGATGACGTCTTCCGGTGCTCTAAATTCAGAGAACTATTACACAAGCATAGCTAGCACAGGTAGAGGCCGTCTTTTTTTCAAAAATGGTCAGAAATTGAAGAGGAAAAGTGTTAAAGGATGAAGCCTTTGGCGTGGGCCAATCATGTTGTTGGGATGCGCCCTGCATGCGATTTGCATTCAGAATCGTAGTAGGCCTGAATGCGGTTGTTGCTTATGCAATGAGTTATGGTGGCTCTTCGCTATAGAAGTCAGTGCTTTCAAACTCCCAGACGAGTCTAGTATCAAATGTAAGATACTGGAAAGATGGAAGGCTTGTTGAGCCTTGGCGAATACTGATAGGGAATCGATCCCCTGACCACGTCTGTGTGATGGTGTGCCAGTTGCCACAACACCAGCTGACTCCAAAAAGGTAGAGTAACACATGTTAATATAGACAGAAAGATTTACAACGATATTTTTTCGTTTCTACTGGAATATGACCAACTCCATGGTTTTCCTTTTCTGGGGCCCTTCAGTGAAGAAATTTCTTCGCAGTATCGGAAGTGCTTACAGTGTGTTCGGTGGTTTCCTTGAAATGACAGTTTTCCGCTGATAAATGTCCGTGACAAATGACACGTTCCAGTGGTTCGATAAAGACGTCATCATGCTTGAGAACTTCTTTCAGCTGAAATGATCTTCGGTCTAATTGAACTCCCTTGAAAGGAACAGTACCTGGTCACTAAAAAACATTTACTAGTAAAGTAATATTCCAATTAGTAACGGAGCTCTATGATAATGTGAGCCCAGAAATCTCTGGATCTAAAGCCC